TCGGTCCTTGGTCCGTTGCTTTTTATCATTTACATAAATGACATTTGTCAGCATGTGCTACAGGATACAGCCAGCATTCTTTTCGCTGATGATACGTCACGATACGTCACTTAAAAAAAGCAATTCAACCTGATACTCTGAGAATGACATATTTCTCTCTGTTTCATTCGCAGATAATAAACTATGGAATAATTTTATGGGGAAATGCCACTCGTGCAATAACCATCTTTTGACAACAAAAAAAAAGCAGTAAGAATTTTAGCTGGAGTTGGATATAGAGAACATTGTCACCCACACTATAAAGTTTGGCATCATGCCTTTACCTTCATTATATATCTACAATGCCTTATTAGAAATACACAGAAATATCAACCAGTTACAAACCCAGTCAGATATACATGACCATAATACTAGGTATGCTAAGTTATTAAAGACTCCAAGGTATAGATTAACCAAATCTCAACATAATTCTCTGAATATCAATCTATATAACTGCTTGCCGGAGAGAATCAAATCACTATCTTTTGATCAGTTCAAAAAAAGCACAAAAAAATATATTCTTGAACACTGCTTTTATTCCACAGACGAGTTTCTCGTCACAACAAAGAAACTGAGTCATGCACTCAACACATCACTTCTCTGAAATATTCCATTCTGTTTACGCTATTTATTTATGCCTCACTTGATTATGTTTATAACACTTTCAAAATATCATGTTTTATTGTATAATTTTATTCATTGTGTACTTTATATTGTGTCTATTAATATATTGACATGCCATAAATGTATTTATATATGTAATGTGGTGAAAATATATCTATCTATCTATCTATCTATCTATCAATAGTTCTTCAGATTTTTATAGCCTCAAAATTCTTGCTGACAATTCGATTGACCTTGCTAGAAATTGGTTTTCTGCAAACTCCCTACAACTAAATGGTGAAAAAACGCAACAACTGATTATTTCCAGTAACAATAATATACATACACATCAGGAGAACACTGTAAACTTCTTGGAATTACAATCGATGACACTCTCATCTGGCACTATCATACTCAGAAACTGAACAACGAGCTTTCCAGTACAATATTTCTATTAAGAAAATTGAGATATGTTGTAGGTCCCGAATCACTCAGGCAAATATATTTCGCTTTGTTTCACTCGCGTATTAGCTATGGAACCATTCTATGGGGAAATTCCAGCAATGCGCTAAACATCTTCAGATCACAGTAGAAAGCTATTCGTCTTCTGGCTGGAGTCGGACTGAGAGAACACTGTCGTTCCCTCTTTACTGACATGAAAATAATGACACTACCATGCATTTACATATATCAAACCCTTTGTGAAATACACTCAAACAAAGGAAACTATACTGTTTCGTCAGATCTTCACAAATACGACACGAGATCAGCAAACCAAATAGCACTAAAACGTTTCAGGCTAAATTAGTCGAAGTCAAATTCCCTCAATTTGAAACTTTATAACAAGTTGAGCTCAGAAGTGCGTTCCCTGAATGATAGACATTTCAAGGCTAATGTGAAATGTCTACTCCTAAAAAATTGTTTTTATAGTGTAGAAGAATTTTCGAATTATTCTCTTTAATGTAATTAAAAAAAAAATTGTGAATGACCTGATTGTTTTTATATTTTTACATATTGTCTCTCAATATATTTTTTGTACTATGTGACGTGCTGTAAACCACTGTGTGAAATAGCCAATAAAGTCTATCTATCTATCTATCTATGTATTAGACCAGTTTCAAGTTACTTGTTCTAATAAACCGAAACCGGTCGTAACAAATAATAAACTTAGTAGAAATTAGACAAAAGTTATGTTCTTTATTCTATATTGAACATGAATTTTTACAAAATGAATTGGTCATCAATGGAACAAGCCAAATAAAAGCTTTTTCGTAGTTCTCTATGTGACTAAATTTGGTCATAAAATAGAATTTCAGGGATGTTAGAATATACAGGGTTGTTTTTTCGGGTATTAATAATAATAATAATAATTTTATTTCAGTCAGATCACAATTCAAATGATATTGGAACAGTCAAAAAAAGGAAACACAGCACATGTATACAGGGCTTTTCATGAGGAGCATTAATTAGCCGTTTCTGGCAAACTATTCAACGGATCAACCTGAAAATCCCACAGTATGCATAAGTCAATATGACCTACACGCCTAAAATATTTTAGACGAAGCGCTTGTACTATAAAGTAGCGGCTTCTTTGATTTTCCAAATGGAACACCCCGTATATAATATCATATTATGATTTATTATCACTGTCAACAAATTCATATACTATTTCCCTATACCTATCTATTATCGTTTAGAAGATATAAATTAATTTCGATATTTTTTTTTTACCAAACATGAACTTTTATAAATGCTGATAATCTTGAACTCTCTTGGACTAAAACGATCAAATTTGAAATGGAGTGGAGTGATACTATGAGGATCTTCATTCCGAGCTATATTTTCATTTGCCTCATACAGGGTCTTCAAAAAAATGCAGATACTTTGATCTCATGAAAAAATGAGTGGAACTCAATTTTTTCTAATGGAACACCCTGTATACTTCAACATTTTTGAGCTCTACATCCAATTTTAGCTTAACTTTGTTCAGATAATACTATTTCTATTTTGAACCGTTTTCGAGATAAACTGTTTCAAATGGAAATTGACATGGTTTCCTTGTTCATCACTCATTTTTGTAAAACAGATTTCGTTTGATGTTTCTCAATTAGTCACAGATAATACAATGAAAAGATAATTATCAAAATACTCCTCAACCATCGAATGAAACTTCTCTTCAAACAATAGTTTTATTATCGCTGAAACACGAACTGAAAATAATAAACGCATAAATTAATGAGTTAATTTAATCGTCGGTGTATTTCAGAATATCTTAAACAAACATGTAATCTCTTCAAAAGATTATCATGTGTAGCGCTTCTGATCAAGTCTGGAGTCAAACTATTGAAAGCAGTTGTAACTCTTGATTTCATATCTTCCAGTGTTGTTATTGGAGTAGAGTAAACCATATTTTTAATGAAACCCCACATGAAATAATGGATTGCCATCTGGTGTTCTAGGAGGCCAACGAAAAGGTCCATTTTTACCAATCCATCTGTCTTCGAAGATTTCGGTTAAAGCTTCGCTGACTGAATGAGAATTATGGGGTGGAGCACCATCCATTTGGTACCATACACGTTCTCTTCCTGGTCTATTATTTAAAATCATTTGAATTCCATTCCTCAGTAAATCTTCATATTTTGATGCATTCAAATTATCATCATAAAACTCGATATAAAAAATTGACTCATTCTTTATGGCACAAAATACATTGAATTGCCATCTTTCTTGAAAACCCCTTTGGCGGACAACATGGGATTTTCTGGCGCCCAATAATGACTGTTGTGTCTATTGAAAACTCCATTTTTTGTGAACTTGGCCTCATCTGTCCATAAGATATTGTCAAGGAAATGTTCATCCTCTTGAGTCTTGACAAGTAACCATTCAAAGAATTCCACTCTACGAGGTAAATCAGTCTCTTTCAAATGTTGGACACAGTAGAACTTATAGGGATGCCATTTATGCTTATTAAGAATTCAACAAATTGTCACATAGGGTATACCTATGTCCCTTTCAGCCTCGTGCAGAGAAGCATTTGAAAATGCATGAAAATATCCTAAAACTGTTATACCATTGTCATCATCATCCACTTTAGTCTTCTTACGAAAGATTTTTGGACAGAAGGTTCCATTCAACCTACAGTTTTTAGAAGTCGATTTATCACATTATTATTCGGCTTCGGAAGTTGTGGATATCTTTCCTGAAATACTCGGCATGTTCTACTTGCAATTCTATTGCACTCACCATAAATTATTAATAAATTCAAGAAATCTCATTACTGTAACCTAATCTTGACATTATTCTATTATAATTGATCTGAAATATTTTAGGCGTGTAGGTCATATTGATTTATGCATACTGTGAAATTTTCAGGTCGATCCGTTGAATAGTTTGTCAGAAACGGCTAATTAACGCTCATCATGAAAAGCCCTGTTTATATAAAATCTTGAATAATAGTAAAAATTATAAAGTAATATTCTAATAACTATCACCGTTTATATACCTAAAGTATAAAATACAAATTTAAAATACATTTAACATGCATTCAGGCAACATAGTCACTCAATAAAAAATTCATCTGCTTTATAGTAACATTTACTTTTACATTTACATTTGTTTTTGAATATTCTGTAATTCCTCTCACTCGCAATATCCTCAGGTAGCTTATTATATAGTTGAACCCCTGTAAAGAAAGGGGCATTTTCGGACAGGGTTTTTCTATGTTGTGGTATCTGCAAGCAAGTACCGTATCTTGTATTGTAGATGTGATTATCACCACTTGTCGGGAGGTTAGAGAGTTGTAATTTAATTGCCAATAATGATTTCATGATGTATATACATGGCACAGTGAGTATATTGTTTTCAATAAAGTAGGGTTTGCAAGAATCTGTACGTTTAATTCCGAAAATCAGGCATATTATTCTCTTTTGTGATATCAGCAATCTTTCAGATGATACTGCATTGCCCCAGACAACTATGTTATAGGATATATGAGGATGTATTTATCCATTTTGAAAGATATGTTACTGCTCCTGTTTCAAGGGGGGTAATTCATGAGGAGTTTGTTCTCAGAGGAGATTGTTTCTCAAAGATTGTACCTGACCGAAGTCGCCTGGGACAATCAGTTTGATCCAAATACCATAAACGAAACAAGCGACTAGAAAAGAGGATACAAAATAATCGTTTCAATTGAGTGCGAAGTTGAATTTTTGCAATAGCGAATTGAACTATAAATTAATAAGTGTGGCTTTTATTCAAAAATCCAAGTTTGGATATCTTCAATACTCACAAATGAACAATATAGTAGTTCAATAAAAGAAAAGAGTATTCATATAACAGGAAATTTGTGAGACACTTACATTTGTAGGTTATAATCAACATTCAAAATATGGAATTTTTCCACCTCGAAGTCTACACCAATAGTTGATTTGTAATTGGTATCAAATATTTTGTGGCAAAATCTGAAAAAAACAAAAAATATTCTCATGAGTGTTCCTCAACATTTTCAAGTTAGTAATATAAAATATAGAAAATAGTTAGAAATAATGTTAATAATATTTTTACTATATTTTACCATTCCATTAATGACGATGTCTGGAGATATCATGCAAGTCACTCAATAACAATAATTACAGCTACCGGACTGAGTCATGGCCGGTGGAAGAAATCATATCTCCGTAAATTTTGGGTTGGTGTATCACAAATAAAGTATTAGAAAAAAAGGAACAGAAACTTTTGTTTACAATTTTACGTGTACGGTACGAATAATTTAACAGACTGATAACAGAGTTCTATACAGCTACTGCACATCTTGAGGTAGGGGCTTCTCATCGGCCATGACTCAGTCCGGCAGCTGTAAACCAAAAATGCTGGGAAGACCAACAGTACAAGTTGCCTTAATTTCATTTAACTAACCGTTAAATGAAATTAATGCTATTATTGATACGAATGTATTGTAAATTCATGTATTGTATTCTTAGACTATGGGTTCATAATTTGTTATTTTTGTTGAACTCTAATATGTATGAAATGAAAATTTTAGTTGTAATCAGTTCCTTTTCCACTTTGCAAGAATGGGGAACACAGACTGTAATGGATATAACTTAGTGATTCTAGTACAGGGCAGTGGGCCCTGAATATTATAACAAGATGGACCATTGAAGTGGTTCAAATAAAATCGTAAATCTGGATTCTCACAGCTCCGTCATCCGATGATGAGACGATCCAAAAGGTTTCTAATTGACGCAAACAAAAATTTTCAGTTGGTAGAAAAGATCCATCCTAATATTTTAACTCTTTTCGGATGACAGAACGTGAGAATAGATTATGAAAAATATCAAATATATGTGTAACCATATAACCATATACTGTATATTATTTTATTAGGTAAATATTATGTAACAAAGTGACACAAATATTACTTAATATGCATTAGAGTTTATGTAACTTTCACATAAATATGATACAACTACATACTTTGTCTATATTTTATATTATTTAGTGAAATGAATAGTACATAACAAATGTAACACTTGTACTACCTACCTACTTATAATATATACCTTCGCTAAAATGTTTCATGAACATGACAGTATGATTATTTTCGATAGCTGCATGTAATTCTAACAAATATTTGTGGATTCATAGTGCCAGATTAGAATTGATTGAGAAAATAAAAGTACACCATTGAAAAACAATAAACTATATAATTTCCAAACTGAAAGGGGTATATTTTTAGAAGAGATTAATTTTTGGGAAAGAAAGGATTTAGCTTCCTACTTCTCCATCTTCATCTTTCTTCCATTTTTTTGGAAGATTCAGCTGCATGTTTTTATTTGTCCGAGTATGATTTATAAGAATGACTGCTAATGATAATGATTTCGTGAAAATTGTACTTTATGGGATACTCATGGATTTTCGAGTTTTTTTCTGTAAAAATACTACATTGAAGTAAAATATGATATACAAACTTTGCCGGGCTATATCTCAAAAACTAATTGAGCCCAACAAAAAAAATAAAAAGTGTTGTGAATTCCCACCACCATGCAGTATCATCCCAGAGAAAATCACGAAAATCCATGAGTATCCCATAAAGTACAATTTTGCCATGATTTCTAGTAATTGAGTTCAAAATATATTACCTGAAATATTTGTATGTAATTGGCTTTGTAATTTCCACTTTATCTGATCCAGAAACATTGTGTAGTCAATTCATTGGTAAATAATTGGCCAAGGCATATATACAGATGGCCGTTTGCATCTCTTCCACCCAAAAGATCACATTACATATATTTGTAAGGCATGTTGGCATAAGGCTTCTCATCTTTAGATAATTCGTGATGACCATACCTTCTTAAAATCCCAACAAGTCGGTAATACTGTTATGTGGAATATTATGTGCATGGAAACATTTTCGGAGATCATCTGATGAACCGTTCACTAAAATTTATTTTTCAGCGCTTTGTATTTCCTTGCCTTGTAATTCAGGGCTTCCTTTTGTTGAAGGGAGGAAAATGACATATTAGATGTAGAGTTGTCATTCTTCTCACTACAAAAAAGGTGTATTGCCTCCTGGTGACTCACTAGGCTCAAATTCCCATACTTTTTCACTAGAAGGAATTTCATTATACAATTCGAGCTCTTTAGCGCTACTACCTTATTATGTGGAACATTTATTATTTGTACTGGATTTAAATTTTTATTATCTGATAAAATTCTTTGCTGCTGCCTCTAAGGAAGGTTAGGGTAATCTCCTGGAATTTTGCCTTAGTGAATGATTCACTTACGTACATACGTAGTTCCATAGTGTGGTGATAAAATAAATTAATTTTCAAAAAAAAACACTTTCAATAATAACATACACCAAGTGAACAAAATGTGTTACTAGTTTCGCTTAAAACCACCAACAGTGTTCAGTAGTGTTCACTAATACTAATAAAAACAGATGATATAAGTAAACACTGAGAAACTATCAAGAGTCTCTCTCTCTCTCTCTCTCTCTCTCTCTCTCTCTCTCTCTCTCTCTCTCTCCGTTTGGTTGGCCCTTGCTTCCGATCAGGCGCATTTAGCCAGTTCTCCTTCTGTTACACATCACTTATGTAACAGTCGCTTCGTCCGGGGTTGCAGTTGTCCTGCTTTATGCAGACTGCTTCCTTATTGTGTCACTTTCTTCTTCTTTTGCTCTCTTTATTACTTTTTGCTGTCT